CTATAGAAACGAAAGATGATCTTTTTATCAGAGGCGTGCAACGAATTTGGACATAAATTTTAATAATTTTTATCTCTAAAAGAAGAACACTTTTACCTGAACTTTTTTTTATTTTAGACAAATTGCCGATTTTATTTTGTACGTACCTTTCAATAACACGCTGTATTACGAAAAAATTAAAGCCAAAGATTAAGTCCCACCCATACCTGCCCTGATCTAAATAGTAATGCAGTTTTCATTTGTTGGCAGACCTAGAGGCGGTGTCTAATTGCAAAGTCCATATTTCTTTATAAAAATTTACCATTTTAAACGTGTTTTAAGTTTCTAAGATTAAAAAAAGATCATCACAATTGAGATCACATCGAACGGCCTCTTGGTGTGAAAAGTGTCCCTGTATTTGTTCCCAGTATTTAATAACTATATATATTTTTAATCGACTTTGGTTACCCTCGATATAATGAATCTTTTTCCACCGGGCACGTTTTTTGGTTTTCTAATAGAGCTATTAAAGCACGCAAATGAAGTCACATCAGTTCGTCAATAGCGGAAAGTCGTTCTTTAATAGGTCTGGTGTAATTTAGATCGGTAAGATTGGTAGCCATGACGAGAAATGTCAGGTGAATGTCAGTGGCAAATGTCAAATTAAAATTTCCCGTATTTCCGGAAGCGTAAGGACTTCACTAACTTCTTCACAAGACATTTTAACCAATTTTAACTTACAAAAACTCGAATTGATTCGAATTACAGTTGTTGTGAAAATTCGAACCTCAAATATTTCGTGGTTAGTGTCAGACCACTCCATCACCAACCACGACAAAATTTTTTAATTTATACAATATTTGCCTTATGAAACTCGTTCTTTAAAATACTATTGCAAAAACTGTGGAAAGATGACAGATAATAACTATATACAGTGTAATGGTTGTCAGGGTTATTTACACCCCACATGTGTTGATCTTAGTGAAAATGATATAAAGATAACTCCTGGCTAATCAAAGGCTATTTGGCTTGGAAGAACAGCTGGGAAATAATGGTTGAGCTAATAAACTTATTTAAAATTATCAATCCGAACTGCGACGGCGGTAACTTAAAAACACTGAGACTAGGTAGTTTCAGTAAAGACAACCCCAGAGCAAGACCTATCAAAGTATTATTCAACAGCGATATTGGCGCCGCTAAAAAAGTCCACAATTTCAGATGTATTGAATAGCGAATTGTTTAGTGAATTACAATGTATATCGGAATGATAGGGACCTAAGAAATCTTGGACTAACGAGGGGTGGAGGTATTCTTATCGCAATAAAAAATACTTGCACTGACTTGAAAATCTCTTCCAGACAACTGCAATTCTCGAAATTGATATATTTGGTTTAAAGATCTCAGACAACAAGACTTCATTTTATACACTTCTTGTTTATATACCACCTTTTACCGTTTTCATAAATTTTGAACAATTTTTTGAAATCTTGGAAAATGAAACTAACCTGCTTGGGGACAATGTGTTATTCTTAGGAGATTTAAACACTCCTTCATTCACCACAGATATCTCAAACAGGTTTAGCATTATCCTAAATCATTTTTAAAACTTTTATAACCTTACTCAGATAAATACTATTAACAATCACTTTGGTAATATATTGAACTTAGTATTTACGAACATGAAATCCATTTCAATATCCAAATCAGATAATTCGTCCGTAAGTGAAGACAACTGTCATCCATCAGTCGATATATCTTTTCAATTTGCTTGAAGTCACACAAAACCTTTTGCGATAAATCACGAAGTACCTCATTTTTATTTCAAAAAAGCTAATTTTCATCTCCTTTACGATATGTTACTCCCAATCGACTGATCATCTATTACTTAATACTACAGGTAACGTGAAAACAGATGTCACTTATTTCTGTAAAACACTTCGTAGAGTACTCACTAGCTGTGTACCTACACACCGTTTCAAGCAAAATCAACGTTTTACTTACCCGCCCTGGTTTGACCCGGAAATAATATATTCTCCTCGTCAAAAGTGGTCCGCTTTTAAAAAATACAAACATTACAAAACTATTAATCTATATAACATTTTTCAGCAGAATAGAACCAAATGTACAAATCTGATATCTGCTGCATCTAAACGTTATCTACAACAAGCAGACAATTCTCCGTTGGAGGATCCTAGCAAAGTTTTCTCAAAACCCTTGTGTATACCTACTCCTTAATCTTATTCTCAAACATTCCACTATCCCTGAAATATGGAAAAAGTCTTGCATAACGCCGATTTTCAAAAAAGGGGACGTACATGATATAAAAAATTATCGACCTATCACATCAATATGTAATTTTGCAAAATCTTTGATATTATTCTTTTTCGACGTATATATCTTAGTGTCAAATATACTGTGTCTTCTGAGCAGCATGGATTCATGGCAAATAAATCAACATTAACCAATTTAGCTTGTTTCAATCAGCTTTTAGCGGAGGCAATAGATAATAATGGTTGTCAGGTCGATTCACTCTACCTAGATTTCCAGAAGGTGTTTGATCAGGTATATCACCATATTTTACTAACAACGCTAAAATACTATGGTTTTTCTAATTCTCTTGTTTCATTGTTTTCATTCTACTTTTTAGATGGAAACCAGTATGTTAGGCATCGAAACTTTATACCTGATCCTTACACTCCAACATCCAGTATCCCCCAGGGTTCCAACTTAGGACCTTTTTAAACTTCTTTTTGCGGACGATCTCAAAATCTTCACTAAAATTAAATCTGTAGATGACTGTCAAACTTTACAAAATAATCTAGACTGTTATGAAATGGGGTGAAAGAAATCGTTCTTCTCTAAATAAGGATAAATGTCATGTTGTATCATTCGGTAAGAAAAAAAATGTTATAGAGTATCATTATACATGTGATAGACAGTACTATCGTGACTAGAGTGAATGAAACCAAGGATCTAGGAGTCATATTTGATTGTAAATTATCCTTCTACCACCATATTGTAAACATCGCCTCTAAATCACTAAAACTGTACGAATTCATCTATCATAATTGTCGTGAGTTTCGCATTGTTAAGACGTTACGTATGATGCATGCATCAGACCAATACTAGAATGTACCTCTATAATATAGGATCCATTGTATGCTACGCATATTCTAATTCTTGAAAAAGTGCAAAGGAAATGCGTGAAATTCTTAGTTTTTATGGTTGATGGTAATTATCCACCACGTGGATGTGACCATAATCTTGTACTCCATCGCTTCTCCCTAAATTCATTAGAGACCAGACGTGACATTGTATCAATTAAATTACTATTTAATTTATTGAAAGGAGTAGGTAATTGATTCGCCACACCTTTTAAGTAAAATGTTGTTTTTAATCTCTAGAATAAATGCACGATGCTCTTGAAACTTTTATGTGTTGACTATCAGAACAAATGTATTTTTTAAAGACCTATATACAAAACAGGTGTAATAAATTTAATTTAATTTCTAGAAAATGTGACATTAATGTTGATTCGTTCCAAACAATTTGCAAATGTTTAATAGATGGTGTAGGAATTTATTACGAATACCCAAGTCTATCCTGTTTTTTCTTTTTTTTCTCCATTTCAGTTAGGGCCAGAATTTATTGTATTTGTTTTATTTTTGCTTATTTTTGTTTGACTTCTGAATTTACATAATTTTCATTATTAAAGTACGTTTTTTTTATTAATTTTATATTAATAATTGTAATACTTCCTGTAAGTGGGCATAAGCCTGTCGGAAATAAAGATGTTATTACTATTTTGCAATTAGGCTCCGCTCCATAATTGCAAAATCCATATTTCCCTGTAAAAATGTACCATTTTAACGCTGTTTTAAGTTTCTTGTTTTGAAAAGATGGCTATGTATATTAAGAAAAAAAAAGGCAAAATATAAGCCCCGCCCGCCCGCCCTGTCCCAAGTTTGATGAATTTTTTTATTCGTTGTAAGCCGAGGGGCGGGACTTAATTGTAAAATCCTTACTTTTCTACGAGAAATTACCATGTGAAATATGTCAAGTCAAAAATTAAGCCCCACACATATCCATCTCAAGTTCAATTGTGATGAATTTTTCCTTCGTTGTCAGACCGAGGCGCGGAGCCTAATTGCAAAATCGATACTTTCCTACAAAATTTACCATTTTAAACATGTTTCACCTTTTTGTTGTGGAAAGAATATTACACATATTAAAAAAAAGTACAAAATGTAAGTACTGACAGACAGCTACAGTGTAGTAAATGATGGCAGCTATTTAAAATATGAGGGTTTCGATGAACAGGTGACTAAACATAAAAAAAAGTTTACTTACACACAAGATCTAAAATGGTGCACTCGCACTTGAGAATATTCACAACGAGGAAATTTAATCACATATAATTTTAGTGTGTTGGAACCCTTAAATGAAATTTAGTAAGGCATATTTTATTTTAATTGAAATTTGTGGCCCTAAATGACTTTTACAGTGCATAGAGATAATTGCGTAATCTTCCGCTGCCAGACCGTTAAGACACCTTGTAGAACTTTATGAAAAACACGTCTTAATGCTCACTGGTTATGCTTCAAAGGTAGAGGAAGTTCTTTGTAAATTATAAATTTTTCTGCTGTATTACATCCATGAAAAATGCTTTATAATTCGCTCATGATCGATCTCGGCATGTTCAGGTCTTTGTGAAACTACTAGTTGGCAATATTGAGTCGCGGTCTGTCTAACCTACCAAAAATGCTGCCGTTTCGCACAAAACACGGCGACATGAAAGGTAGTTTCAGAGAATTACCCAATTTGTTTTGTACTTTGGTAAAAAATCTTGAAAATAATTAAATTTAATTTGGCTTTATTGAAACAAGAATTTAATTTGAAAATTGAATTCGGAGAAAAACATAAACACATTAAAACACGCGCCTAATTTTGGACGAATTATTTTAATTTTGATGCTCAACAGTGTTATTCTTATATCTGACAATTTTAGTTTTTATAAGTGTACAGGTACAGGTACAGCTATATCAAAATTCAGTCGTGTTAGCAACTAAAATAGACTTATTTAAACTTAAGCACTCATATTTGATTTTAATTTAGTTTGAATGGGTTCTGCAACAAAAGTAAGCATTAAGACTGAAAACACTGAACAAATACTACTTTACCTTTATGTAAAAGCAATTTCTCTATCGCAATCATCGGAGATTCAAAAGTCAAACAAAGCACCACCGCTAGAGCAGCGCTAAAAATAAAATCGCCCCAAAAATTGAAAAACTGAAACAAAAGTGGCGAATTTCTACGTTAATTAACTTTAAAACGACGCCTCACCACGTAGAAGTCTTCTATCACAATTTCCGTTTTGTACGAGCAGGCACGAAGGAGTATCAACTCGTAATGTATGAGATAGATGGAGTACGAAATTTTCGACAAAAACTGAAATATCGGAGCCGACAAGAAGACATTAACTGGTCCTGGAAAGTGCAAAGTAACCATCATTTACATAGAAACGACTCTAGTTATCTCACCCCCGAAACCCGAGACGCATAAAAAAATTATACCGCTAATGGCCAAGGACCAAGCCGGTCGGTTGAAGGCGATATACAAGGAGTGAGACCATTTGTTGTATGCAGAAAGCATTGTACCGTGTCCTGCATAAATACAAGCCAAACCACCGGCCAGACACATTATCCATAGCGTTAATACCATTATCTGGAAAACAAATGGATTATAAATCCGTTGCATAAGGTAAATTCATTTTTAAAGCGTCGAGGCTAAGCAAGCAATAGATTAATCGAATTAGTGGGCTAATTTTCTTATCTTGTTCGCTTAGTTTTAGTAATTTTATTATTAATTGTTACTACTTACGGGTTTCAGGTTGATTTTAATTTTTTCTTTTTTAATTTTGTGAATGAAGTAACCCAAAATCATGCCAATTACGTAAGCTCCAAATCTACCATAGGTCTGTTCATAGTACGAGAACATGTATTTCTGAACATTATCCCTGAAAAAGTATCCACCTTATACACTTTAATTGGTTGTGTAAATCTTATTTACTTGTCTGCAATTAAAAATGCCTGAAGCTCTTCAAAAAAAGCTACAAAAAACGGAACGAGAATCCCAGCTAAAGTAAGTATAAACAAACCAATTAGTGTCAATTTTGGTTTAATTTTCATCGGTATTAAAATTATTGGTGACAAAATGAAGAGTTGCATATCGATGGACAAATACCAAGTTTGAGGTACACACTGAAACAAATTATTCTGAATATTTGAAGTGTCGTTAGAAAATATAATACCGCTTGTTCATCATGGACGTAATTTTGAATATAGAGAAGAGCAGCCCAGAAGTGTTTTCTGCAGGGTTGCACCAAGTGATCGTCAAACGTATTCCATAAAGGACCATTCCCAAAATAGTTTAGTAAGGTTGCATGTATTAAAACCACAATTGCCATTGCTGGAGTTAAACTGAAATGTTTTTTAAATTACTGCATTAAAAGTAATACACTTTTTGACAAATTACGTACCGAATGTACCGATGTATGTAATAGAGGATAATATTAAATTTTACATTTTTGTCAACAGCTTTGAGGAAAGTGTAAACGGTAACCAAACCGCCAATAACAAAAAAAGTGTCAACTGCAACTGTAGCTCCTATCACGAACATGTTTGCAGTTTGTTGGGTGAACTAAAAATGTCCTATAATTATCAAGTTCAACAAATATGTAAATCTACCTCTTACTTCACTGATTTTTGAATAATTAGCTACAGCTCCCGTAGATCCGTTTACATATTCATGTGCCATAACAATCCACATCATGCTAATAGCTTTCAGTCCATTCAAGCAAAGTAGCTGGTCAGCACTTTTAGAAGATTGAAGCAATTTTCTGCCATTGATAAAATATGAAAATGCGACTGAAATATCCCTGCCGGGTTCTTCCATAAATAGTTAAAATAAAGATTTAAAATGAAAAAAGTCTTACTGTAATTGTTGTAATACAGGTAAACATCGTAGGAGGTGGAAAGCACGACCAGTAACAAGAAGAAGCTTAGAACGGCTCTAAAATAATAAAATATTGTTAAGTGTAAAGTTCGCCAATTGTTAAAAACATACATTGTAGCTATTGCACCTGAAGTCAACTGTTGTTGTGTGTCCGTATCGTAGCAATATTTTTCACTAAATTTTGACAGCATGTGAATTTCGGAGGCATCGTCAGCAGTACATTTACTTGGTAAGCAAGCGGCTAAGTGGACACCGGTGAACTGTGGATCATTTCCTAACATTCTTAGTTGTCCGCCTTTAGTCAGTCGCTGAAAGTAACAAACATTTAATTTTAATCTCGGATTTAAATTTATAACTTACTGGTTGAGCTATATTATAGTCAGGAGGCATGGAAATTGTGCCTAGGCAATATTTTCCACTGATGTTCTTGCTTTTGACGTTTAAGCACTCATCATAATTACCTAAGTCGTAAAAGTTGTCTACTAATATTCCTGAAGGAATTCTTCCGTGCGAATCTAACACTGGGGAGAAAGAAATTCGACATGGTTAAGAAATATAGACACACACATTTAATTACTTACTTTGCCATGCCCACAATTCCTTGTTGACTAATCCTTCGAAGTAAAACTTTAGTTGTTGAAGACATTCTGCAGAAATTCGACTATTTGTCAAGGAATTTTTGATTGTGCTAATGTGGTTTTCATGGACCTGGAGAAGGTCAGTTTCGGCGTTTACAACCAATAAAACTGTAATAATAATTGAACCTTTAAACGATAACATATCTAGACTTTGATTTGTAGGTGAGTACTGGAATTTGATGAAGTACCCACTGCAAATTTATACTATAATTCGTTATCGGAAATCAGCAGTGATAGAAATTGTTTCGGAGCAATGTCCGATAAAATTAAGATCGTAACTGTTGTTAATAATTTTTATGCATTGAAATTCCACTTAATGCCTATCTAAAATGCATAATAGTATTGTCATAAATATCCTTAGATGTAATCTTTTATTGTCAACAACTTAGAAATACTTGGAACTATAACCGAAGTTCACTGAACTTAGTTGGAGATGAACTCAGTTTTTTAAATAATTGTGCATCACGTATTAGTAAAACAGGTACAACATTAACAACTTTCTAAATAAATTAGTTCTTGGCTTTTCAAAGGATCGTTTTCCCATAATTAGCAAGATTTGAAAAATTTCTTTCAACTTAAACGCTACAAGTTTAAACTTGTGGTTTATTAATGTTTTCTAGAATTATTTATACAGAGTTACTGAAAAAAGTTAATGAATGCTCATCCCAAATGTTGTGCTGTACTTCAGGGACGAGGGAAGTTCTACTTAAATAATCTTGGGTTATTTTTCAAGTATGGTGCGTCAAATGAGAAGTGGCTAATTAAAGTAGTTTACCTAAATTAGTTCCTGTTACTACTATTATTTTTGTTATTTTGTTTTGGCTGATTGAGTTACTAATGAACGGCTTTAGCATCAAAACCACGATGTTCTAAGTGACGTTGATTAATAATATAAAGCAGCATCTTGAGGAGGCTGAACCCGACAACGGTGAACAATGTAAATTGAATCCAATTGCCTAGTAGTCATAAAAAAGCTGTTGAAGTGTTAGCAATTTACATTTTCTGGTTTGAAATGCAAGAAGGGTAAGAAAATACAGGATTCGTGTTATTGCGTAAATTTTTTTACATCAAAAAAATGCTCACAAAAACAAAGTGCAGAATAAAAGAGGGGTTTTTAATTGTTTAAATAAACATAAGAACATTAATTAAGAAAATTTCAATTTGTCACATCTGTATAATGAGTATGTGCTATGTCTGGAGTCTAAAGTTGACGATAAAATTTAAGTTTATTGTATACAAATGGTAATAAATTAATAACAATATTAGAAAATTGTTGAGAATATACTGTTCAATTGTTTATCAAAAAAAATTACATGACGAGAAAATAAGTGCATTTTGTAGACGCAATATAAGGTATATGTAAGTATATAAATAAGACCTGGAATTTTTTTGAGAAGTTTTTAAATGTCGCTAGTTTTGACATTAATATGTTAATTTTTAGCGCAAAATTATTCCTCTATATCGGAATATCATTCATACCTGCAACTATGCATTATCCGACGTGTTTTAGATAACTATTGTGCTGGATATTCTTCAGGGTTTATTTCTTTATAATCAGCTTTAAAGAAAATTGTACTTAATACTTAGTTATCAGAGTTTTCTTTTAAATGGAATATTTTTTGTTTGTCATCATATGTTAAGTTTAAGTATTCCACACGATGTCCGTACTTGAAGTTTAGAGTTCAATAAACTAAGTATTGTCCATGTTTATGTCGTTATACTAATACAATAGATCACGGGTGTTTCCACTTGTGATAAGGATATTGTGCATTTAGTCAACTGTCAAATGGAATTAAAAGATACATAATATGTAATTGTGTCATCGCTAATCTCTAATTTTTTTTTAATACAATTATTAAAGAGGATCTTAGGATAAATCTTACATTTTTAGATTTTTCAGTTTTTTGTTTTTTCGACTTGTTGATGTTTTGATTCCTCGATTTTTTAATATTTTCAATTTTTCGAATTTTTAAATTTTAGATTTTTTGCCTTTCGTTTTTAGATTTTCTGGTTTTTCAATTCTTTGAAATTAATTTTTCAGTTTTTCGATGTTTCGATCTCTCACTTTTTGGTTTATAAGTTTTTCAATTTTTTCCCATTTTTCGATTTTTCGACTTCACGATCGTTTGATGTTTCGATTTCGCGATTTTTCAATTTTTCGATTTCGATTTCTCGATTTCTCAGTTTTTCGATAATTCATCTTTTCGATTTTTCAATTTTTCAATTTTTGGCGTTTTTAAATTTTTGGATTTTTCGATTTTTCGCTTTCTCACTTCTTCGATTTTCAAACTTTCAGTGTTTAAGTTTTGGGATTTTCCAACTTTGGGATATTTCAATATGTATTTCGATTTTTAAATTTCTAGATTTTTTGACTTTCTGTTTTTTTATTTTTTACTTGATTTATTTTTTAACATTTTGCGACCTTTTAAATCTTCTATTTTTCGATTTTTCAATTTTTTGAGCTTGCGATTCGTTGATGTTTTTATTTATGGATTTTGTGAATTTTCAATTTTTCGAATTTGTAAATTTAAAATTTTTCACTTTTTGTTGTTTCGATTTCTGTCTTCCGATATTTTGCCTTTTCATTTTTAGATTTTTCGATTTTTCAATTCTTCGGAATTAATTTTTCAGTTTTTCGATGTTTTTTATTTAAATTTTTCAATTTTGAATTTCCCCATTTTTCGATCTTTAGCTAAATATGTATTCTGATATCTCAATTTTTCGATTTTTCGACTTCTCGATTTATCGATCTTTTGATGTTTCGATTTCGCGTTTTTTCAATTTTTCGATTTCGATTTTTAGATCCCTCAATTTTTTGATAATTCATCTTTTCGATTATTCGAGTTTCCAATTTTTCGACGTTTCAGTTTTGGGATATATGTATTTACATGTTTCGATTTATCATTTTTTCAATTTTTGGAGTTTTTCGTCTTTCTGATTTCTGGATTTCTCAATTTTTCGTTTTTCAAATTTTGAATGTTTACCTAAGTTTTGGAATTTTCCAACTTTGGGATTTTTCAATATGTATTTCGATTTTCAAATTTCTAAATTTTTTGAGTTTCTGTTTTATTTTATATTTTACTTACTTTCCATTTTTTGATTTTGCGATTCGTTGATGTTTTGATTTCTGTATTTTGTCAATTTTCAATTTTTCGAATTTTCAAATTTTAGATTTTTCACTTTCTGTTGTTAAGATTTCTATCTTCCGATATTTTGCCTTCTCATTTGTAGATTTTTTTTTTCAATTTTTCGGAATTAATTTTTCAGTTTTTCGATATTTCGTTATTCCAATTTTTCGATTGATCGGGGTTCTTATGTTTAAATTTTTCAATTTTGAATTTTCCCATTTTTCGAACTGTAGCTATTTCGATATGTCAATTTTTTGACTTTTCAATTTTTCGACTTATCGATCTTGTGATGTTTCGATTTCGCGTTTTTTCAGTTTTTCAATTTCGTTTCAGTTTTGGGATTTATGTATTTAAATTTTTCTAAATTTTTTAATTTTTCGATTTTTCAATTTCTCATTTTTTCGATTTCTCTATTTAAGTTTTGGCATTTTTCAATTTTGGGGTTTTTCAAGATTTCGATTCCAATCTTCACATTTTTCGACTTTCTGTTTTTTTCATTTTTTACTTACTGGATTTTTCAAAATTGTGTTTTTAAATCTTACATTTTTGAACATTTTCATCTATTCGATGTTTTAATTTTTGAATTTTTGGATTTTTTAGATTTTTAAAATTCTTGATTTTCAAATTTTCGGTTTTGACAATATTTTGCTTTTTCGTTCAAAAACGAAACATCACATAATTAAAAAATAAAGATGCTAGGAGCCCCTAAGAATCTATAAAATTCTTTCCAAATATTGAACTCCATGGATCCTCGGGAGTTTTTAAAACTACATTAAAAACAAAACACTAGAGGCCCTGAAGATTTTTTTATATTAAGACTTTCTCTTTTAAACGTAAAAATTAATCTAAAGTTATTTAGACAGATCTTCCCTCGCCTCTTACGCAAAGATATATTATCAGTACATGCTTAACTGCAATTGTTTATGTTTATACATCGAAAGAATGCGAAAATTAAACACGCAGCTAATTGTCTCTTCAAAACAGAGGAAACAATTAAAAGTATTAATTAAGCTACAATGCAACAAAACGGATATTGAATATTATTTTGGCTAAGTCGATGTAATCATGACAATTTTTATTTTATCATTATTTAATATAGGCGGATGCAACATTACTGTATTTTAAAATTTTCGAGCCCCGGAGTCCTCCACAAACCAGTGCACGTATATTGGTATAAAATCGATGATGATCTAAAAACGAGAAGGCAAAAAATCGAAAGATTGAGAAATCGAAACAACAGAAAAGTTAAAATTAAGTATTTAAAAGACCCAAAATTGAAATAGATATAAGATAAATAGAAGATAATTTTTATATACATATTTCATTCCGAGGTTTCGTCTTGTTTTATTTTCGAATTGTCAATATTCGTCAGTTTATTCGATTTCTCACTAAGTCAGGTTGATAAAAACACCACTCTCCATTTAAAATCTACCCATGATAAATTTAAATATTCATTTTTGTTAAAAAATAATGGTTTGTACGTATGTGGCGGTTACTTGTTTAAACTTCATTAATTCACTTTTACCTTAAGGAAAGTACTTTTTGAGTTGAATATATTGAAGAATGTAAGTACTGTGTAATCAATCTCTGTAATCAAGCAAGAAAATTTTAGTCCTTGTCCATTATATTCTACCTAGTGTTTAGGAAATTATGGCAACCCGCAGAGAAAAGGTGGAGGAGCTTAATACCTTTCACTGCTGGGTGCTGACAATATTTTTGCGTGCGATAGTACGCACACACACACTTTAGCCGCAAAGCTCCAAAGCACTAGGTTGTGCTTCGTGGGCATTTGACAGTGTAGCATCGGCTGCTTCGATTCAGGATTCGATGTATACTTGCTTTCTTGACAAAGTCAATTTATTGTTTTCACAGCATTCTATTGTTCGTAATTATTACTTTTGTAAATTTAAACAGAATAGCTATATTTCGTGTGATTAATACTTATTTAATGTATTTAATATCTGATATTAGATACTGAACAAACAAGATTAATCCGAGCATGTTTCGCCGCTCTA